ATCCTGCTGCTTATGGGTTCCATCACTTTGAGGCTATTCTAATACCAGTTTAAATTCGAATCCTTTCAATCATTTTCTATGAAGTCATTTTCTTAATTTGATTGCAATTGTTTTCTTAATTCAATTGTTGTTCATAGGATAAAATTGATTAAATTTGATTGTATGCATGTTCCTAAATTTAATTGTGTGTATCGTTTGCTTAATTTGTTAATTCGTCATATTCTTAACTGTTTGCTTAATTCGATAAACAGGAACATAATTCATTTGATTTTGATAAGCGCTTGTCTAGTTAATCTCATAATCGAATAGGATCGAATCTGCTTAGGGATTAGTGTTTTAGTAGCTGATGATAAGTCAGAATCTGAATTAGTAGGTTGGTTGAAATAATACAAGAATCCTTGCGATACGACATTCGAGTGTCACTTCCCTTTACTAATTTTTTCAAAAATACTCGTTTTTGATCCGTGCGCGACAGCGGATCAACTGCACATGAAGGAACGTCTAGGGTAAAGTCCTCAAGACTTCAAATTCTCACCACCAAGTTTGAGAACTTGATGATGAAGGATGAATTAAGTATTCAAGACTTTCATATGAACATTGTTGATATTGCCAATACTTCAAGTGATCTTGGAGAAAAGATTCCAGAAGCCAAGTTGGTTCAAAAGATCCTAAGGTCACTTCCAAATAAATTTGATATGAGGGTGACTACTATTGAAGAAGCACAAGATATAAACACTGTGAAGGTGGTTGATCTCATGGGATCTCTTCAAACTTTTGAAATGGCCTTGAATGAGAAAACTGAGAAAAAGAAAAGCTTAGCCTTGGTGACTAATCAAGATGAAAGCAAGAGAAATTCCAAGGAAGAATTGTCGAAGGATGTTGTGTTTCTTGGAAAACCGTACAATCAATTACTGAAGAGGATGGAAGGGGAGTCAAGAGCAAATGTCAAGACTCAGTCATCTAACAACAGCAAAAGGAAGGATTTTGGAAGAAAGTCCAAAAATGAAGAGAAAGTTGGCAAAGGGGAAGGATTCAAGTGCTATGAATGTGAGGGTTTTGGATATATTAAATCTGAGTGTCCTACCTTTCTCAAGAAAGAAAAGAAAGGATTGTCTACATCATGGTCTGAGGATGATTCTGCAAGTGAAGGAGAATCACCCAAATAGGTTTTTGGTCTTACAGGGGTATTTGACTCTGATGTAGAATCAAATATTGGAGAACTATCATATGATGATTTAGTCAACTCCTACAGGGAGCTGTACACCAGAAGTGCAGAAATTTGTCAGCTAGGAGAGGATCAACATGGTGTTATCATGCATCTGCTTGAAATCATCTCTAATCTAAAGAAGGAAGTTGTATTGCTCAACTCTAAACTCAATAATATAACCAAAACTGCTAGAATGCTCAACAACAATTCTAATGTGCTTGATGAGATCCTTCAATTTGGAAGGAATGCTGGAGATATCAGAGGACTTGGTTATAATGACCAAGGTGTGATGAGCAAAAGAAAGTATCCAAACTGTAGTTCTGTTTAGCCCAAGAGGAGACACTATCAAAAGGGATGTTTCAACATCCACGCAGACATCAGAAAGATACTTTAGGAAAAAAGAAGTGAGACTGGAAATGTCATCATTATGGTAAGTATGGCCATATTAAACCTTAATGCTACAAGTTACATGGATATCCCAAGTCTGGCTCTCAATCCAGAAAGATGCAAGCTGATGAAGCTAGAAAGAAGTAGAATCCTAAGAATGAGCCTGTGGCCCTAATAGCCCATTCTTCTCTAAGAGGCTATGCTGAAGAGAAGTGGTACTTTGATAATGGTTGTTCAAGACACATGATTGGTGTCAAGAAATTTTGGATGAATATAGAATCCCATGCCTCTAACTATGTCACCTTTGGAGATGGGTCCAAAGGAAAAATTAAAGGGGTTGGAAAATTAGACCATGCTGGGAAACCTATACTTGATAAGGCGTTGCTTGTCAAGGAAATGACTGCTAATTTGATTAGTATTAGTCAACTTTGTGACCAAGGTCTAAAGGTCAATTTTACCAAATCTGAATGTTTGGTTATGAATGATAAAGATAAATTCATCATGAGGGGTGCCAGATCAAAAAATAATTGTTATATATGGACTCCTTTACAGACAGAGTGCTCATCAATGTCAAAACGGAAGCATCAAAAACCTACCTTAGATCAAAACATTGATGAATGGGAAAGTGGGAAGTTAACCAAGATGTCACACAAGAAGTTGCAACATCAGACTATCTCAAGGATTCAAGATCTTCTTCATAGATGATTTTGAAGGAAAAAGATGCGCTTATGTTGTTACTAATGACTCAATCACAGAAACTGAAGGAATAGAAATTAGGGATAATTTCTCTCAGATCATAGGATTGAGACAGATGTTGACTGAGTATAATATCATACAAGATGTTGTGACATCTTATTATGATAACTTTAGTCTCACTAATGATTTCAAAAATCAGATTGATGAGTTAAGGGGCAAATTAGGGTTTTTCATGATTGAGGGTTTTGAGAAATTAATCTGTGAGAATACTACTCAAGTGTATGTATGGTTCCAACAAATAAAGAGAGGACTTCAAAATCAATCATTTCAAAGTGACCTAAATCGCTCCCTCGCACGTCTCCTTCATACTGTACATTTGGTTACAAACCGTTTCACCTTCGTGCTTGGAGAAAACCTTAATTCAGTATATTCTTCTTCAACTTTCTAGTGTGCCAAGATGTCTCAACAACAATCTTCTAAAGGGGTAACCATGAAGGAGAATGTTCCATCTTCAATTGCTAGAGCTAAGTCTAGGAAACTGTCTGCTGCAAATGCGACTGATGTTGCTCCACTGGCTATGGTGTCATGCAAGCCTAAAACATCCCTGTGAAAAGATCTAAGGATTTCCTTACAGGTAGGTGCCTGAGTCTGACACACAATGATTAGTTGGTGAAACTTCGGGCATGCGAAAATAAATCAAAAAAACAATCTGAAATGAACCCTAAACAATTGCAAAAATGCATTTTCATGGAAACTCACCTAGAATCTAGAAATACATTTTTTGGCTCAATATAACTTTTTCAGCTTAAAACAAGATTAACGTGAGCAATGAGGAATAAAATACATGAAGAAGAAGAACATGCATGATGTCGTTTTATTAATTTTGCCTCTTTATAATTTCGAAAATGCATCTCCGGAATTGTCACTAACATGCAAATTTGACATATTTCATATTCTCACTTCACAAGTCCAGAAGTGCATTTCAAAATTTGTCACTGAATTGATAATTTAAAAAAAAATTCTTCATGGGTTAGATTTAGAGTGTATTTCCGAACTAAATTTTTAAGAAATATGGGGCAAGACACATTTAAGTCATCCTTTAGTGTGATTATGTTGCATTTGAAAATGAATTTGTGAAACCTAAAAAGGCATTTTTGAATTTTTTTTAATATGTTTTTTTTGCCACTGAGGATGAGATAAATAATTCTCTATAACTTGCATTTTATTTGGCCTTAATTCTCTTTTCTTAGTGGAAACGATCTTCCAAATCGAAATTCATAACATGTTGTTAATTGTAAGTTCAAGAATGTTATTCCTACACCCATATTTGACATCAAATACTTACACTCTATACTATGTTTACCGTATTTATAAGGTGAACAATGTTTTTTAAATTGTATTTATAAAGTGGACAATGTTTTTTAAATTAAAAAATATATTTATGAACATTAACATGAATAGTGTGTGAACAGAGACTTTAATCAGTAAGATAAAGTTGGTTAATAACATATAAAAATTTAGTTAATAAACGTTCAGATATTAAAAATAATTTGTTATAGTAAAACAAAGTTGGTTGATGAAAAGTAAAAAATTAATTTATAAAATTATAAAATTGGTTATTAACATTTGAATATTAAAAATAATTTTTAACAGTAATTAAAGTTAATTAATAAAATATAAAATATTAATTAATAAAATTATAAAGTGAGTTAATCACGCACTTTTATATTGATTAATGCACTTTTATATTGATTAATGAAACTATAAAGTTAGTTAATCATGCACTTTTATATTGATTACTGAAATTATAAAATTAGTTAATCACACAACTTTATATCATTATCATTCAATCTAAAAATAAAATAATATTTTTTCATATTTTTCTAAAAAAAAATTGTTATAATATTTTACTTTCCACTATATTGAAATACGGTATACATGTAGGTTTATGGTGTTCAAATGTAGGATTATGTGCTTTCCAAATAAAATCTTAATTTAAATAAATTCATGTATGAGAATCTTTCATTCTCATATTATAAGCAATTTTATAGTCTTCATTTGCTTATTATTATATTATATCCTTAAACATAATTAATCTCTCATTTTAAATTCTTGTAATTAATATGAAAGAGCAAACAGTAGTTAGTAAAGTATTACACTATTGACCTAACAAATCCTCAATCAATACCAACACTATCTCAAAATCATAAACTTTATTTATTTGCAAATTTAGAGCAAATATAATAAGATTATATTCAGTGTCGTTATTTTCTATGATACAACATAAATATGATGTTATTTACTAGGCCAAACAGTGTCTTAATTTGTATTGCATTTTGTTACTTGACATGCTGTTAATTTTGTAGAAATCTATAGTATAATTCCATGATACAAGTATGAACTTGGTTGAAGGTAAATTATTTTAACCTTTTCCTGATTACTAATTTACCAGTTAAGCATTTGGTGCTTGTTCCAAAGGTGTCCCTGAAATGGCCGCTTCTTCCCCTACTCCCACAAACTCGTTCGAAAGTTAAGGGAATCAACAGATTCGAACCCTCTTGTAACTGTGATCGCTTCGTGAGCAGGGTCATAATTCTCATCACATTTTAATTTGAAACAACATCCAATAGGAGTATAAATATCTGAAAGTTTGTTTTCTATATTGCAAATAAATAAATGAAATATTGAGCTCCAAGAAAATCTTGAAGTTTTAGGGGGTCCAATTTTGAAGTGCTTGCTGCATTAACACTGCTGTGATACTTCCTATTGATATGTTGATCACATTGACTAAATCATTATTGAGCTGCAGAAAAGAATAAATCAAATCACTTATCGTTACCGTGAACCATTTAAGGTATGTTGCAGTAAAGAAAAGAATCATTTCACAATAAAAATTTCAACAATCCATCTTTAGAACTTACCCATTCAAATCCTTTCTTATCTTGAAGTAAAGCACCAATTAGGCTTTCACCAAGATTAGCAAACTGGGAAGCTAATAAACATATAACTACTTCATGTAAACCAATCTGTTTAACAATAAACAATAAAGAAACAAATCAATTGCGCATCAGCTTTTGAATTCTGAATGCTGACTACCGCATTCATCCCCCTGTCGTCATCCCATAAACATATGCAGATTCAAAAATTAGGGAAGTACCTCGCCCAGGAGAAAACTGAGAAGGGCAAGAACTAGAGCTGCTAAAATTCCAGCCAAGGTTCCTTCAACACTAACGGCCCCTTCCGTACCTCTTGGAACTATCTTGAATGTCGTAACTAGGTACCTGGACATTATGCATGAGGAACTTTACCGAGGATATCATAATTTACGATAAATTATGAACTAAAATAATAAATTCAGACCAACAATAAATTTTCCTATCAATTAAATGTCAAAAAACAAATATGTTCAACAAGGTCCTACAACGCATGGAATTGCCACAAGCGGTTGTGTATCCCTTAGTTTCCACAAGTTTATTGCATGTAACTTATCTGAGGGGGAAAGTGGGGGAGGTTCCGAAAAATTTAACTCTTAAAATAACTGTGACAAATCTTCATAAGCAGATGATGACGACAACAGAACATGGCCAAGGTCCCAACTCCCAAGTAGGCAGCTCAGTTGGTGAGCTAGGGAGCATCGAGGGAGTTCTAAGTAGGAGGTTCAGCGTTCAATCTTAGGAAGAAAAAAAGAAAATAAAACAGCTAAGATCTATATCAAAAAGATTTCACTAATAAGTACTCACGTTGTTTTTCCATATGCCTTGCCTATCTCACTTGAGATTGTGTCGCTCAACTTTGTACAGAAACTAGCAACAAACCCAAGTCTCCAAAGCTGAGAAAATGCTGCACCTCCAACTCCAGATATCGCCATGAGAGAACAAATGCAACCGGCAGCACTGGATCCAATAACACTCTCGGGACCCCTTCTTCCTCTCTTTTTCTCAGCAACTCCTTCTTCCATTTTCTGTGTCATTTTGACTTTTGTTGCGGCTGTACCCTAAACAAATCAACTCCAAAGTACAAAAATCCCCAACTTCAGAAGCAAAAACAAGGAAAATTGCCATACCCATGTTCATAATTTCATAGATCCCTGTGAAATTTAACACTCCAAATTCCAGAAAAACAATCCACAACACTCTCAACACCCATTTGTAGAATTTCACAGAATTCCATAATTAATCACTTTTCAGATAAAGCAAAAAATCCCAAACAAACCCCAAAATCAAAAACATTCAAAATCTTCAGAATTTCACATAACTCCATCAATTACCAATTTTTGCACATAAAAATCATCACTTTCATCTCAAACAACACAAATTCCAAAACCCTAGAAACAAAATCAACGAAAATCCCCAACCCCATTTCCCAAATTCCATAAACCTCCAAACAAAAAACAGACTTTACAGTCAAAACTCACCACTTACAAAACAAAATAAGAAAAATCAACAAAAAAATCAAGCTTACAATGATGAAAAAGGCGGCAACAAGAAGAAACCCATGAGACCCAAAAGCACGCCAAGTGAGAGTCCCAAGCAAAAAAGCAGCAAGAATCCCTGAAAACGACAAACCAGTAACCAAAATTGGAGAACCCAACAGAAAAATCAAGAGGTTACTGAGCAAAGAGGATTCCCACGTGGCAGGTGACGATTGAACAATCGCCACAGCTCCTCCAAAAGCATCTTGAAAAGTAGAAAGACGCGAAGAATGCATGGTTTTGGGAACCCTGTTGCGAAGAAGAAGAGGGTTTGGAATAGGAGTAGTGAAATTGGGTTTTGGAGAGAGAGAAATGGGTTTGCGTGGGAAGTGAAAAGGAAGAGAAAGAAACGTGATCGAGTGAAGAGTTAATTGCGCCATAATGAGTGTGTCTATGTCAACGTGAAGGAAATAAAAGAATGAGGAATGAAACAAAGATAACTAATTTTTGAATACTAGTGTTTGATTTTGTTTTGTAGCTTTCTTTTATTATTCACATTTTCATTCATTTAAAGTTGTAAAAAGTGTTTCATAATTTAGTTAGTTTCTTTAACAAGAATGAGTTTTACATCTCATATTTTTATATAACTATCATAATTTAACACAACACTTTCTAAAATATTTTAATTCTTGTATTTGTTTTCTCAATTGTTACCATGAAAGTTTTTGCAATAGTCACTCATTTATTCATGAATCCATTTTTTATATAAAACTAAACTTTATTTATTCATTTTAGACTCAATTCATTATTTTTTATAAGTATATTCTAAATGATAACTATATACTAAATAATAAAATATACACAATTCATTTTTTTAAAAGGGTAATATATATTAAATAATAATATTAGTTCTATAATATTTGACAAAAGAATATTTTGCATCCTTCTCACCAAAATAGTAATTTAGTTTGAATATTTTTTTAAAAGTATTTTCTTGATTAAATTTAGGATAAAAAGAATTGCAACATGATTTTGGGTGAAATTTTGAATTTATACGAAAAATAACTTATATATCTAATGTTTTAAGATTTTCTGATGTTCTTTTTAATGGCTTAGTATATTGGACTTATTGTTGGATCTTGGTATAAGATGTATGTGAGGAATTTACTTACGGTCGTACCTCGAAAAATACGATCTTGGAAAGAAAGTTCGCAAATGGACTAACAGATAGTCGCCATTGAACTTTATTTATTCCTAAGGAGGGAAAGAGAATATATCGAGAAAACCCAAAAAAAAAAAAATTTTATTATTGAGTTCGTTTGAGTTTCGTAACTCAATGCCTACATATCCCAGAGGGAATCAGAACTCTATAGTTCTTGTTGAAAATATTTTTGATTTGTTGTGTATTTTTTATGAACAATAATATGAACATGTCATTTTTGAAAAGGTTTAAACTGAAAAAGCCAAGAGACAAATGGTTTGAGATGTGTGAGGTATTTTTTAGGGTTTGAGGAAAAAGGTTAAAGACATAATTAAAGTATTTTTTGAAAAAAAAGGTTTTAGTTTTAAATCAGAAAGGGAACTATCTAACCTAATGCTAAGATGTTAAGATTATGATTTGAGGAAAGCTATTCTAAAAGTTATCACGCAAAAAAAATTCATACTAAAGATCGAATCTAATTCAATTTATCGAAAATAAAGTTGAACAAGGAACCTAAAGGAACATAGCTAATTATACAATCAAGCAAACGATCCTAAGTTAAAAGATGTCATAATCAGTTAAGTCATCAGGCTATATACCAAGATGATAGCAAAAGTTCAATCACTCTAAGAAGTATCGATCACTTCTCTCAAACCCTATTCATAACTCTAATAAAAAATTTAATTATAAATTTAAACTAATCAATTAATCAGAAATTCAAATTAAGCATGAATCTCAAATTTAATCAACATTCACAAATCAAATTACCAACTTAATTTATCATAAAAACCTAATTAATTCACTAACATTAAGCAAAAATTAAATTAAAAAATGTGAAAGAAAATAAATAAAAACGTAGGCTTTTCTTAGACCAAATGTGTGTTGGGCTCATTCGGTCCTAGCATGCCAAAAGGAATAATAAAAAAACCAAAAAACTAATGGGCCGCATCATAGTCACAACAATAACCTCATAGGATAACATCACAACTCTCTCTCTCTCTCTCTCTCTGCACTCTCTCTCTCTCTCTCTCTCTGCTTTTGGTTAAATTTCTAACTATGCTTTTGGTTAAATTGTTCTTTCTGCAGTATAGTTGTCTAGCTAATAACCTTAGGATTGATTTGGTTAGTTTTTGACCTTGGAGGTTAATCTCTACTATTATTTTATTATTAGGTTTTAAATGATTGATCTTTTGCATTACCAATTATTCTTTGGTTTGTTTGGAGCTCTGGTGTGTTCTTTTTTGTCTTAAGGTTTAGAAGAACTTGGATATTTGGGTTCATTATTCTTTTTGCGAAATTGAGCCCAATCTGCTACAGACTACACTTACTGAATGCACTCCCTTTCATTAGCATAGCAATTTGTTTTTTCCTCTTATTTCTACTCTTTACTTATCTTATTATTATAATTAATTAATTAAACTTTATCACATTTAGGCCAATTAAATTTAATTAATTTAACTAATAAGTTGATTAGTTCTCTTGATTGATTAAGCCAACTAATTAGTATTAACCTAAGTATTTGATTTAAATTAGATTTAGTTAAATTAATTTAATCCCTTTCTTTAACTGCAGTATTCTTTCTCATTATTGTTTACTTATTTGTTTAATTAAAAATTAAACTGGTTGAAAGACTATAATGGTGATAAGTTTTTTTTTAAAGTGTGAAAATCTTTAGTCCAATATTAAGTGGACTTTCAAACACGATTAATTTATTTTTAATGTGATTAATTAAATCATTTTTTAATTAAATAAAGAAAGAAATGGGTTCTTAGAGTCTCACATTCTTTAAATTCTTGACTGATTGTTCTTAAGGCACACACTTTGGGTTGTTTTTCATTCACTTTTTCGTTTCTAAAACACTAAACTTTTTTCGTAATCAAATAATGAAAGAAATGGTTTATTGGAGTCTCGCATTAGTTGAGTCCTTAAATGATTGCTAGGCATGGCAAGAAAATTCGGGTCCGTTCGGACCCGGCCCGAAATTAACGGGAGAAACTCGATTTGATTGGATGCGGGTGCGGGGAAAACCCGATTTGTAATTGCGGGTGCAGGGGTGGGGATGCTACTATTCGCCCCGCCCCACCCGGTCTTATGGTATTTACTTTAATACCCATATTTAAATTATTTTATTTCACATTTATTCACTTTTGGAGAAGTAATTAAAAATCCTCATTAGTCATTTCTCACCATTCACTCAAACCCTCATCTTTAGAAACAAGTTTATTATTAAAATGGTCAAGTTTTTAATAAAATCATTAATTTTTATTACTATTTAAAAGAAATCATTTTTTTTTGCGGGTGGGACGTGTGCGGGCAAACCCGTTTCCATCGGGGGCAGGTCTGGATGGTAAATTTTTACCCCCGACTGGGTATGGAGGCGGGTGACGGGTCTGTAACAGGGAGGCGGGTGCGGGCGCGGGGCTAGTTAAACCCGCCCCTGCCCCGTTGTCATGCCTAATGATTGATCTTGAGGCACACGTCTTGAACTGTTTTTCATTCACTCTTTCATTCTTAAAACACTTAGTAATTAACTTGGACAAATAAGGGTCGTTAAAATCTAGCATTCTGGCGTAACTCTTTGAACAATTGATTATTATCAAACGTTTGTTGTCCATCAAACAATTTTATCAATTAATCTTGAATGAAAAATGACCGTTGGAATCTAGCATTCTGGCGTAACTCTTTGAAAAATTGATTATCATCAAACGTTCGTCATTCACCTAAAATAAATTCAACCAATCAAACTATTTTTCTCGCCGTCGTGCGACCTAAAAACCTTTTTCAAAATGAAAGACATCTTGTCTTAAGATGATGCTAAGCAATGTTTCATCCATAACCGCTGAGTTGAGATAAGTGGCGGAAATGTGATTTGTAAATCCATTCAATGTGATGCAAATGTTCGCTCCTCACCTGTTTTATGTAAAATTATGTTTTACGTGTGCCTTGATTTCTCTTTTGAGGTACGTAGGAGCAGGATAGCGAAATCTTGTCATCCCCTAGTAATAAAAACCTTTAGGCCCCCTTTCTATTTAATAAATCTAAAAAATATTTCTCTTCTCCCTCTTTTCTCACTCAATAAATAGAAGATTAGAAACTAATATAAGCTAACATACATTCAATAACTAACTAAATGGTTCCCGTTGAATACAACAGACGTGAGGGGTGCTAATACCCTCCCCTTGCGTAACCGACTCCCGAACCCTAATATTGGTTGCGATGACCATATCTTTGTCCTTCTTTTAGGGGTTTTATTCGATATTTTCTCTTTTCCTTTATAGGAATAAATAAGTATCGATGGCGACTCTGTTAAGCCCATCCCGCAAGCGTGCGATTGCGCTTCACGAGGTCGTTCTCATTTTTTGAGGTATGACACATACAGTGAAAAAACTTGCTATTAGGCAATGATTTGATGATCATATCAGCAACATTATCTTTAGTTAAAACCTTTAGACTTTCACTTCTCCTTTCTCGATTTTCTCCCTAACGAAATGCAGCCTAACATCAATGTGTTTGGTTCTCTCATGATAGGATAAGTTCTTTGACAGATGTATGGCACTTTGACAATAACATTTAATAGTGATAACTTGACCTTGAAGGTTTAGTTCTTTAACAAACCTTTCAAGTCATAATGCTTCTTTCACAATATTAGTGAGGGAAATGTATTCAACTTCAGTGGTTGATAAGACAACAACCTTCCAAAGAGAAGCTTTCAACTCATTGTTGTTTCAAGCATTGTGAAAACATATCTAGAAAGATATTTTCTGGTATCCATATATTCTGCATAGTCAAAGTCGACAAATCCTTTGATTTTGGCTTTTTCATCACTCGTGGCCATACCATAAAATAGTACCCTACTCAGGGATCCTTTTATGTATCCCAAGCTCCACTTCAAAGCCTGTTAGTGTGCCTTCTCAAGATTGGCCATATACCTTCTTAAAAGGCTCACTCTTTATGTTATGTTTGGCCTCGTACAGACAATAACATACGTCAAATAACCTATTATACTAGCATAAAGGAAAAGAGGGGTTGGTTCTTTTATTAGAGTGCTCTCCAAGGATTGTGTCCCTTATGCCTACATATCCTCACTTAAAAGAAGTGAAGAATCAGAGCTCCATAGTTCGGAGGCTTGTGAAATGATTGTATGTTGGTTGATTTTATACCTTAAAAAAAGGTTTTCGGATTGATGCCCTAAGGCGAAAAGAAGTTTGATGAGTTGATGTTATTTTTAGGTTTTTGAGA